GAAAAACACTGACTTAAACATCTCCGGCGAAAGGACCCCACCACCTTGCAAGGCACAGTTCTGAGAAATTCCAGGAGCTTTTCTTAAAATGTATGGTGTCCTTACTTAAAAGGCATCAAAAAGTGAGGCTTGGATGATGGACGCTCAATTCTAAGTTGCACGATTCATTTCTGAGAAGCAGGTGGAAGATCAAAGCATCGGCACATTGCTGTTTACGCATTACTGCTCATCCTAAAATATAAAGCTCCCCTCGTCGCCTCCCCCCTGCTGTTTACCCGGAAGGCCTTCTCCTGTAGGTTGGCATTGGAGAGCTTCAAGATGACTGCAAAGTTAATGGGCTTGGCGCTCATGCGCCCCGGTTTCTTGTTGAAGTCCACCTGTTGGAAAACCTGTGGGAAAAACAAACGAACAGGACAGAGAGGTCAGGCAAGCATCAACGGAAGAGAAGGTGTGTGAAGATGCAAATCCCAAATAAATCTTAAGACAGCCACTTCCATCGCCTCCAGCCTGCAGAAGTCAACCTGGTCATCTTAAATGTGCTGGGGGGCAGTTTCCATCGCCCCCAGTTAGATGGCCATCAATACCAGACTGAGAAAGGTTTCCACACACCTCCCAACAATAGCTCCCCGCAGGGAAAGAAAAGAGCATTTGCATTAAGGCAGAAAGCTAGCAAAAAAGCCCTACAGATCTCCTAGGCTCCTTGACCATCTCCAAGTTGCACCCCAACTTTCTAAGGAGGGAGAAACCAATGAAAAATGGGGGCCACCTCTTCTGTTCTTTTGCCAGAACGCCACAAGGTCCAACATCAGCCCTCCAGAGAAACAAAAACAGCCCCATTTTGCAGCCCCACAACCTCGGCTATTCATTTTTGGACCCTTGTGGATCAGTCCCTCCACAGCCTCTTCGGTTCTTCTGTCTTCCACCCCCAACTTAAATGAGGCAGGGGCTTCTGCGAAGGCGGCTTCCGGAACCCCTCCTTTCTAATTTCTTTCCAAGGCCAGCTTCTGATTCTTTTCATTTCCCAGGCCATAGTGATCAACCAAGTGATCAATTTTTGGTTTCAGATACCGTTAAGAGGCATGTCTGAGTTCTAAGAGGGTTGTTTAAATTCTCAGCGATGGTTTTACACACAGCCCACAGACTTTGTTCTGATGGTTTTGGGGTTGTGCTTGAAACCCTTTGACGGATGCTGGGCAAGGGGGCAGCGTGCAAGCGCTACGAAGAAACCTTGCTTTCTAGAGAGGGGAAGACATACTGGCCTAAATCACCCCTTTGGGTCAGAGTCCCCACCTTCTCCCCAATGCTGGTGGGGGTGATGCTTTATTGGCCCCCAGTCCTGAGCTGCCCCATCCATCAGCCATTTAATTTGTGTGGGGTGCATGCGTCTGACAGGGCCTCCTCGAGCAGATTCTGGCGAACTCCCTTCCTTCAAGAGGCAGAAAGAGAGATGCCCCCTTTTGTTTCCCCTTCTAGCAAGAAGCCTGTCCGTGGAAGGAGTGCTGCTCAACAGCCCCCCGCCCCAAACTTATCATAATCGAAACGCCAACCACGCACCCCCGCAGCACCAGGCGGTGGAATCGATCCATCGATCTATACAAAAGGCAAACGATCATTATCCTTCTGCATTTGGGCGATGTGCTTTCTGCACCTTCTCTCTCTCAACACACCTCGGTCTTGCCAGAGAGTGGAGATGCTGCCGGGGAGGCGGGGGCGGTGGGGGCTGTTCTCTGTGCCAAGGGAAGCATAAACTGTCAAGGCACATCACCAATTTCCTGCTCATTTCCAGTGACAGTGGCTTGGGGAATATCGGCACCCGGAGGGACCTCAGGAGACGCCCGAGCTGTCATCGTGCTG